TTGTCTCTTGCGTTCACCATCGAGTTCAGCATACGCCGAGACCCGAACGATACTACCACGGTACCCCCGTGGTAGGCTATCGGTGGTAAAACATCGACAGTATTGTTTCTGCAGGTATATAGGGTACGGTCCCTGGTATCGTGGTTTGACTTATGTGCCTTGCCTTGTTTTCTCCGTCCGTTCCCTGGTCCTTTCCGAGCGGGCGTCCCCGGTCGGTTGAACCCAGTCGGCTCTGATTGCGCCAGTCGGAGAAGAGCGGTGAGTAGGGGTTTGACGCATCCCCGGTCGAAGATGCGGGTCAGAGTAAGAGGTGGTGCTTTGGCCAGGCGTTCCGGTCGGAGAGGCCGTCCGGAGGCGGGCTGGAGCCCAAAGTGAACGCTTCGGTCGGAGTGGTGGGCCGGAGTTGGAAACGGATGTTGTTCCTCCTTGGCCAGGTCTTCCGGTCGGTGACTGGATCACCCTTCTGGACTGATTGTTCAGATACTTGGGCCGGCCTATGAGTCGCGCGCTGTCTGCTTGGAGGCTTTGTTGGGAAACCGGCCCGCGAGGGCCCCCGGGTTTATGAACCTGACACATAGTTTCCATAGCTTCTTGTGAAATTCAAGCAGTAAACATTAGGTTACAGATAGTGTAAGAGGACTTTAATTGAAAACACAAGAGATTAGTTTATAACAAGTAACGCAGGTTTAATATTGATATGGATTACAGGGTTGTTTGGATCTTTGACACATATAGCCACGTTGTGGCGAGTTGTGGAGGTGGCGGGGTTTTCATCAGCCACACTCTTGTGGCTCATTCTCTACTGAGTAAAGCTGTGGCAGCCTCATTTAAGTCAGCAACCAAACAGCTGCTCCGGTTCCCATGGCGAGCCACAGTTTGTGGCGTGGCGGCCGGTGGCCCTCAACCAAACACCCTCTACATAAGCACAACGCACAGGTACTGATATGGATTACATACTGTGAAATTCAAGCAATAAACAATAGGTTACATATATGGATTACATAAGCACAATGCACAGGTAATGTAACTTCAAAATTAAATGATGATGCCAAATTCAGGGCCCCTTTGGTTCATAGGATTTCCAAAGAAAAAATGTAGGAATCAGTAATCCTATGGAATCAGCACCGTATAGGCCTTGGGTTCACAGGAAGAAATGGGGGAAGGAAAACCATAGGAAAGTTTCATATCCTTTAACTTTCATAGGAAAAACAAAGGAAAAAACACCCAGTGAAATCTCATTGTATTAGTTCCTTATGTTTTTCTTGTACAAAACCAAACACCCCTTCTAACAAAAATCCTCTGTTTTTTCACATGCATTCCAATCATATTCATGTATTTTTCATGTTCCTATGTTTTTCCGATCCTGCGTTCTAAAGGGGGCCTTAGGCTCCTGCCACTATTGCTTATATTAACAGTGCACATGAGTTTCTGTTTATACAAAGGCTAGAGTAACAATAAAACATAACCATCACTTACAAATGATTGCAGTTGTATAGCATAGGAGCGAGATCCTGTAGCCTGGTGGCACTTCACTTTTGCACGGTTTTGCTTGTTTTTCTCAGATCCATGATTTAACTCTCCAAGTCGTGTTGACTTCACTCTCTTGGACTGCCTTCCTCTAGGACTGATATCAGCGCTGCCTTTTGCTCTGCTGGCGGAGCCTCCTCTGTGGCTTCTTCGAACCGGACGCTGAAATTAGAGAAACAAATTTAAGTAGGAAGCATGTACAAATTGTATTGCTATCCAGACAGCAAAGGATTGCATTGCTATCTGCACCCCCTACCCCCCACCCCCTCCCACCCGAAATCAATACAAGGTAGAACAAGCACCTCATCTGCAAGGGACACTGGCTCATCTTATAAATCTGAATATGTTTCATCTGTATCACTAAATTCCTCAACAACCACCCCTAGTTCTTCCATCTTCCTATGATTCTTTGTGACTTGTGCCTCCCGCTGTGGGGTATAACCCCAAGTACCCACGGCAATGGACATGGACTGCACTGCCAGGGGAGGTCCAGCCCATAAGATTAAGGCCTACGGTGCTCGGCTCTGGTTAGCGTGCACCGTAAGACGATCAGAAGACATCTTAGCGATGAAGGGAGATCTGTTCGGATATGATAGATATTGTATTTCTTGTAAATACTTATCATATAGCCGAATAGATCTAGATCTAAACCGATCTGTAACCCTACCCTCCAGACTATATAAGACGGGTAGGGATCCCCTCGAATGCATCTCATATTCAATACAATCCACCGAAGATATAGGACGTAGGGTATTACGTTGATCAGACGGTCTGAACCTGTCTAAATCGCTTGTCTCCGCGCTTGTGTCTCTATCCGGCTCCTATTACGCGCACCTCCACCGATTCATTTACTACTATGAGTATATCCCTCGGTAGACTGCCGACCATATTTCATCGACAGTGACACGCCAGGTAAGGTAGAGGGTGCTATTATCACACTACCGGGATTATCTTGGGACAGATGAATCTCCAAAGGGGTTGACCCGACAGCATCAGTCCGACATGCACCACGAACTGGCTGAGAAATCTGAATCTCATTTGGGCATGATAAAGCATCGGGCACCTCTTCCACGTCCAGCTCATGGCTCAATAAAGGAGGGTTAAAGGGAGGTGAGTTGTGAAAACCCGTGAGGGGTGACATCCCTTGACACCTTCCACACAAACAAATCTAAGGATTTGAGCTCAGCTCACTATCCATAACCAATGAGACATAGTCCTCCCAGTCGTCCTCACAAGCAATTGAGAACCACCACTTGATTCGTGGTCCCTTCGATCCGACATCAAGTACACCCTCTGTTACTATGTCATCCTCATTTCCAAATAAAACGAAAAATGTTTCCAAATAGAATATATCTAATTGATATTATTGTCGATAATTATCAGAGTCTACCAAATAAAACAAAAAATGTTTCTGATTACTTTGAGAATTTTCGAGATATATCTTTTCTTTCGTAGTGCGTCTCATGAGGATTAACTTGGATGCTCCTTTGGAGCCTTTAATCAATAATTGTAAAATGCAAAAATTGGGGGTTACTTTGCATTCTCTTTAACAATGGCAAAGGTGGTTAATTATATAGAAATCTAGGATGTCATTGTAAAGTTACATTTCAAATGGCACAGTGGATAATTTAGGTATAATTATAGGTTACTTTATGTATTTTTTAGAATTCCATATATGGTTGTTATTTATAAAATAAAGTACATCTAATTACTATTGTTGGTGATGATTATTAAAGTCTTTCTACCTGATACATTGTTAGATGTTAGGTGTTTTTTATTACTGTATGAATCTCTATAATTTATCTTTTTTTTCTAGCGTGTTTAGTGAGAATGAACAGAGGTACATTTAGAGCTTTTAGTCGGTTATAGTAAGATGTTTTTTGATTCTTTGAGATGCCATAATAAACAAATTTCCAGCATGCATATATGTTATCATCATATCACACCCAGCGATGTCCAAGCCCCGATCGATCTGGAAAAGCATGTCTATTGTAAATACATTTTTGCTAGTTTGAACACGTTCATGAGACACTTTTCCAGTTAAGACATGTATACACTGGCCACTCCATTGCTCCCATGGCCCGCCACCTTGATCCTTGATACTCCTCTCCACGGCAAGAATTTAATAGGATATGGTTTTAGTAATTTGTAAAGCCAGACAGCCGAGCAGATACTTGAGCACCCTGCCACTCCAGAATCTGATCGCTTCCCCCTCTCGATGTTCCTCCTGCCAGCCTGACGCGTACCGTACGTAGGAGTACGTAACAATTCAAGTAGAGGTAGTCGTAATGGCTGTTTTATCCCTTGCTATTGCTATGTTCTTTAGCATTATTTTATCAGTACTTTTCAGTGAACGAACAATATTTTTCTCTCAATAAATCAGCATAAGCATATGTATGCTCTTTGCCTCTGCATCTCCAAGAATGTACTACGTGCATATGTTTAGGAACAAAGGAACTTTACAAGAATTACCGGAAGAAATGGTTCATTTCAACTCTGACGGTAATCCCCACTCATATTTATCGCCTGTATGTAGATTCTTTTAGCTTCTTCAGATTTTATCTAATTTCCTGCTTGTGTTGATTGGACCCCAGGTTTCCAATTTACAGAAGGAAGAGAAAAGCAGCACGAATGGTGCGCAAAACCTTTGAAAACAAAAGAGATGACAGTAGTAGCTGGGGGAAAAAAGCAAAAGTGGTTGATCATCTATTAGCTCCGCTCCCCTTCACAACTTTTTTTTTCTGTCTTAATTATAGCCGCATTATTAGTTTGAATGAACTTTGGAGGATACGAGAAAGAAAAATTAAGGAAGACGATCCACGGAAACGTATCCAGCCAGTCCTTTATTCTCGCCGTCCATTTGTTCCTTTTTTTTATATTTGAGAATTAAGGAAATAGTAGTAGCTTCCAAAATATTCATACGCACGCCAAAAAAGTTTAGGAACATGATAAAGAATGAAAGATGACGCGATAAGTCTGCTGCTGCCTTCCCCTTTCCTTTTCACTTCCACAATGCCTTGCCAATCGTCTTTCCGGTCCCAGGATGAGATCTCAATCTCCTTGCCAACACCGTTGTTGATGCACCCTTGGTTTCTTTCTCCTCCTGCAAAAGCAGTTTCCTTTTTTTTTTCCCAGGAGTTCCTGCCTGCGAAGCTTGCTCTGTTCTTTCGCCTGCCTGCTTGCCCTTACTCCTCTATCGGCTTGAACCGCTTCTTAACCGTTTCTAGATTGATTCTTGGCCCAGAACATCGTCTAGTTCAAACTTCCACATAGCTTCTGCTTGATCCCACAATTCTCTACTGACAATTCACAAGAACCTTGGCGATCACACACCTGCCGATCGACCGCCCGCCCCGATCGGCGGCCAGTTCACGGTCACCACGAACCCAGACCGCCGTACAAGTCCAGAACAATCTCCCTCCGCCGTGATTCACTGAGCGCTCGCTCACCATCGCAACCCGCGGCCGTCGTCCATGGCGCGCGCCGGCCGCTCCTTGTCCCAGTCCCTGCCCGTGGCGGCGCTCGTGCTAGCAGTGGCGCTGTGCGCTGCGGCGAGGCGGACGTGCGCGATCGGCGTGAACTGGGGCACGCAGCTGAGCCACCAGCTGCCGGCGAGCACGGTGGTGCGGCTGCTGCAGGACAACGGCTTCGACAGGGTCAAGCTGTTCGACGCCGAGGACACCATCCTCGGCGCGCTCAAGGGATCCGGCATCCAGGTCATGGTGGGTATCCCCAACGACCTGCTCGCCGACCTCGCCGCCGGCGGCAAGGCCGCCGACAACTGGGTCGCCAAGAACGTCTCTGGACATGTCCGCGACGGCGTCGACATAAGGTGTTTTCTAGACCATGCTTCCTGATCATATCACCGGTCCGTCCATCCAGAAAGATCACGTACCTGTCACTTCTCCATGGATAATGCTTTGTGGGATGAATGAATATATTCCATCTCCAACCTTGTTCCGTATCTATCGGGTCCTTGCTATGGAATCTTTTTGAATGTAGTAGGAATTTTTGTTCTTGATTTTTTTTTCAAAGAATTTTTGTTCTTCATTCATTTAGAATTTAACTCTTTTGTGACTATTTTGTTAAAGTGGGCACTGGATTCTTGGTCGTGTAACAAGAAATTGAGAATTCTAAGGTGATTGTCTGATGATTTGAGTAGAAAGGTGTGGAGACCCCCATATGTGAATTTATTGGCTTCACCAAACGAAAACGTGGTGCTAATCAAGGTCGCAATCACACTAGATCCTTTAATTTTAGGATTTCCCATGTTATTGTTATGCAATTCAAATAACCCATGGATTACCTGTGGGGGACCAAAACTTAAAAATGCGAAGAAGATCGCATAAACACAGGACCCACAAATAATAATCATCTCGAGTTCAACATCATGATTTGGTGAAGCAAATTCCTGCCTGCGCCAAGATTTTCAGTGTATCATGTACTCCTACAATCATGCTTCCCTGTATGATGCGTATATCTAACCGTATTGCAGTGGTCCTCTACTCCTCTCGCATCATTGATCTGCCTCTATGACCTTCCCCCGTCAAGCGACAATTCTTTTGCTCTGAGAAAATTAGCATTGAATAAGAGAAATTTCATCCTTTTCAAATTTAATTACCTGACTGTTTTTACCTCTGTCTGTTTCCCTGACGGACGGACGTGGACGTGGACATGGACAGGTACGTGGCCGTGGGCAACGAGCCGTTCCTGGAGACGTTCAACGGGACGTACCTGAACACGACGTTCCCGGCGATGCAGAACATCCAGGCGGCGCTGGTGAAGGCCGGCCTTGCCGACAAGGTGAAGGTGACGGTGCCGCTGAACGCGGACGTGTACCAGTCGCCGACGGGGAAGCCGTCGGACGGCGACTTCCGCGCGGACATCCACGGCCTGATGCTCACCATCGTGCAGTTCCTGGCGTCCACGGGCGCGCCCTTCGTGGCCAACGTGTACCCGTTCATCAGCCTGTACGCGGACCCCAACTTCCCGCTCGACTACGCCTTCTTCCAGGGCTCCTCGTCGCCGGTCGTCGACGGCGGCGTCACGTACCAGAACACCTTCGACGCCAACCACGACACGCTCGTGGCCGCGCTGCGCCGCAACGGCTTTGGGAACGTCTCCGTCGTCGTGGGCGAGGTGGGCTGGCCCACCGACGGCGACGCCAACGCCAACCTCGACTACGCGCGCCGCTTCAACCAGGGTTTCCTCACCCACATCGCCTCCGGCCAGGGCACGCCGCTGCGCCCGGGCCCCGTCGACGCCTACCTCTTCAGCCTCATCGACGAGGACCGCAAGAGCATCCAGCCGGGCAACTTCGAGCGCCACTGGGGCATCTTCTACTACGACGGCACGCCCAAGTACCCGCTCAGCCTCGCCGGCGGCAACGGCTCCACGCTCAAGCCGGCCAGGGGCGTCAAGTACCTGGACAAGAAGTGGTGCGTGCTCAAGCCGTCCGCCAACCTCGCCGACCAGAAGGTGGGCGACAGCGTCAGCTACGCGTGCGGCCTCGCCGACTGCAGCAGCCTCGGCTACAAGACCTCCTGCGCTGGCCTCGACGCCAAGGGTAACGTCTCCTACGCCTACAACATCTACTACCAGACCATGGACCAGGACGACCGCGCCTGCGACTTCAACGGCCTCGCCACCACCACCTCCGTCGACCCGTCCACCGGCACATGCCGCTTCATCGTCGAGATTGATGTCGGCGCCGCCGCGCCACGCTCTGCCATGGGCGTCGCGGCCGGGTGGGCGGCTGCCGTGCTCGCGGCCTTCGTGCTGTCCGTATTGTTGTGAAACTGAATGAAGCTTTAATTTCCCTCGTCACATAGACCGATCGTCGTCTTCGCTCCTTTTGTCTTTAGCTCGCTTCTGGTGATGACAAGAACATTATTGACAAGTACTAGTACTCCTACCTATTAGTTGTTCATCTTAATCGCCACTGTTTCTTTTGGTTTTGGATAGATCTTTGTTTGATTTTAAAATGTATGTGTTATTGTTAACTGTTTTTAACAAGACGCATTACACTAACATAAACAACCTTGTCAATTAATATTGTGCCCACCCGGATTGAGTCTTCGACGAATCAGTGCTCATATTTTCAGTTAATTAGTCTTTCGGTGATACCAGATATATGGTTATTGATAGTGGGGTGCATGTGTTGATTTAAGTCAATTTCAAGGTCTACTGACTCATTATCTATCTCAAAGTCATTTGTGGGAGTAGGGGGTGTGCACTACTTTAAATCTTCATCTTTGTCGCCGGGTCGGCTAGCCTATCACCGCTGGTTTTTACTATCTTTGGTGATAAGTTGATATGACCGCTAGTTTGCAACTGACGATGATAAGTTGATATAACCACCCGGCGTAGCTGATATCAACCACCCGATATTTAAAATTAATTTATAAAAACAAAAGAACCATCAAGGTCGGAGAGGTCGTGCCAGTGCCAAGGTCTTGGGCTGCCACTGCCAAGTAGAGGCCGCATTGGGGGCCACCACCACCGAGATTTTGGGCGCCGAGGGGCCCCGTACACCAAGGACTGCCACCGCTACACCGAGATTCGTGGGCCGCGATGGGGACGCGCCAAGGGTCGAGGCCACGATGGTGGCCGCCACCGCACCGAGATCCATAGACCACCGCCTCCATCGTGCCAAGGGTAGCATCAGGGGTCGTAGCGTTACCGTGCCACCTCCACGCTAGGGACGTGCTAGGGTTGCCACCTCCGTGTCGAAGGCCACATCGGGGACTGCAGTGCCGCCATGCTGCCTCCGCACCAGGAACACAACAAGGGTCGGGGCTACTACGCCGAGTCTGAGCTAGGGAGAGAGGGAGGGGGCGAGGTAGCTAATGGAGGAAGATGGCCAAACGAGAGGGAGGGAGATAAGGAGAGAGAGGGATGGAGCTAGGAGATAAGTAACAGAGGAAGGAGAGAGAGCAGCAAGTGGGTCCTGCGATCTGTGTGCTCTACTTGAGCACTAGTTGCTGGCGATACGCGGCGCAGGGGCCTCACCTATTAGCCACATTGAAGAAGCACACACGAGGCGAGAGGCGCTAGTCCATGCCACTCAATAGTATCCATGAAGAGGCACTTCACACTGTTGATTCTATTACGAACTAGCAGAGAAAATATTGTTGGTGAAAACTAATTCTATAGCAGTGGTGGGTGCATCCAAAGTAATGAGTGTGTACGTCAATAGATATATGTAAGCATTGGGTTTGTACTGTATTTAAAAAGCAATTTGATTTGGGTAAAAAACCATCGTGAGAAAGCCAAGTGATCCATCAACAAAATTTAGGACCATTGTGCTATGGCACAGTTCTTGTGGTTTAGTCATTGTTGCGCTACAACCTACATAAGGGCACACACGACGCGAGTCTAGAGCCGTGTCCGTGACATTAATTTTGCAAAAAAAAAATGAACAGTAATCAATGAGTTGAGAGGATGATGTCGGCATCTCGCGAGGCGACGGAGACGGCTCATGCTCCTAGGCGAAGTCACCGAACCAAGCCAGTTGTACAAGGCCGTCTTCTCAAGGCGTAGCATGGGGATCAATTTGTGGTACGAGCACTAACTTGGGCACAATCTCTAGCACGGGAACCCTGGATTCCGGTGTGCACCAGAGTGCATGCACAGGTGCTGCCTCAATCTAGGTGTGGGGTTTTCAAAACCGTTCATCGAAGATGTCTGGTGCCATATGGAGTGCGCACCAGTACATTCTACTAGAAATGTTGCTTTTGTGCAGCTCGGGGGGTTGTGTTCACCGGAATCGTCTGGTGCTTTACCAAAGCAAACACAGGATGGTGAACAGTGCCTACTGGTAGTTTATTCGACCATTGGAACTAGCCGTTAGATTAGTCCGGTGGGTGCACTCCAGTGACCACCGAAGCTATCAGGTGCCCTCATTAAGGCTGAGTGGAGAGGGCAACAACTAGTTGGTTGGTTGGCTCTATATATACTTGGGTGATTAGCCATTTTACCTCTCTTGGCACCTTTGGTACTTGAGCATACATAGAGCTTGTGCAACACCTCCGGCTTACTTGCAAACCTTGAGATCACATTCGTGCGAGATTTAAAGTGATCTCGATAAAATCTGCTTATAAACTTGCAGTGACGAGGGATGCAATGGTGGGACAAGATGCCTCTACTTATGGGAGTGTTGGTGAAAATAAGGCTGAATTTGATTGGGCGCAAAACATGATAGCTTCAAGCCCCAAATAAAAATAAGATGTTTTCATGGCAGCTAGCCTATAACAGCCTATCAGTAAGAAAAATGTGGCAAGGCAAGGTGTCGTGGTAGACACTAGATGTGTAGTATGTCTAAGATTTGACGAGGACTATGGACATACTTTCTTCAAATGCGAGAATGTTAAGAAGTGTTGGCGATTACTAGACACGAAAGATATAAGATCTGAACTAGGATCTTGCCAATCGAGAAAGGAGGTAGTTGCTAAAATATGAAAACTTGAAAAGACCAAACAAATGAAGGTTATTGTGCTACTTTAGAGATGGTGGTCAACAAGAAATAAAGTAAATGATGAGGAAGAATACGATATGCAAGTGAAATCCAAACTTCAGTCTCCTATTTCCTAGTGGAGCTTGAGAAGCTACACAATAACAGGAAGGAGGTTCGAAGCATTGCTAAGTGTAGTTGGAGACCACCAGCGGAGGAGTATTACAAAATCAATATTGATGGTGCTGTTAATACAAAAACAACAACCGGTGGCCGGAACTTAATTTGTTGTGTAGGACATAAAAGGTGAAGTGTCAAGGTCTGGTGATGGCAATATTTGTCATATGACGTCTGCTATACAAGCTGAGGCGATTACAGTTGTTAGGAGTATGTAAGAGACTGTACAGCTCAGTATGCAACACGTCAGGCATTAGTGCTTGCAAGTGCCCTGAAAACAACAGTCCTATTGGCGGCTTAGTGATCCAGGTTAGAGACTCCATGCAATCTGAGTTATCTTTATATATTGTCTCAGTAATAAAGTAGCCGACTACTTAGCTAGATATGATGCTAATGTATTGCTCCAAGGTTCCAATATGTTCATGAGCAAGTCTGTGGGTTTGTAATGAACTAGACTCTCTTATCTACTGGTAACTTTTTTTTTGGTAACTTATCTACTAGTAACTGGTAAATATTTTGGAACGGAGGGAGTAATGTCTAATGTGATTATTATATGAGGTTGATAATTATATAAAAAAACACTGAGGGCAACTCCGGACAAGCAAAGCGCCGTGGCGTGCGTGCACCTCAAGCCCAAAAAAAAACGCACGTGCCGATCCTGACAGGGCTGGTTACTGGTCCGTGGCAGCCGGATCCGTCACGAGTCCGGATCAGATCTGAGTACTACTCCTCCTACTACCTCACCAGCACATCCGGGTCCCCAACCCGCTCGATCAGACCCGTTAAGAACGAACCCGGGTGGGCCGGGCGGGAATGGGATCAGCCAGCGCCAGGGGGGCACGTCGCCTGCTGCCTGCCGCTGCTGCTGCTGCTGTATAAAATCATTGGTTGGCAGAGGCGCTCGTGGTTTCTTTTCTTTTCTTTCTTTCCCCCTCCTTCCTCTCCTCTCGTCGCGTCCAAACTTTTTTTTTTTTTTTTGCTCCCCTGCCCCCTCGCTTCCCCCGAATTTGATGCTTAAACCCTCGCCGGGAGGAGCAGGAGGACTCCAATCCCGACGCGCGAGCCCGCCCCCGCCACCTATCGCCGCGCCCGGATCTCCGCCGCCATGGCCGCCGCGCCGCACCAGGGCCCCGCAGGTGAGACCTTGCCTCCCCCGCTGTTGCTCGATTGGGGTTTGACTTTTTGATTTGATTCCCCTCCCCGCTGCGCTGGGTCGTGATTGCGCTGTGCCGCTGCTCGAATTCTCTTGCTCGAAGGGCTCTGCGCGCTGGATTCGGCGGGAATTCGCGCGCCGGGCCGGGGCTGCGATCTCGGCGCCGGCCCTGCTGCCGGTGGGGGCTCTGTTTGGGACTCCTAGGTCAAGATTGGTTCCGGCCCTGCGGGTCCTTTGCTCCGCGGAAGCCCCGTAGCTGCGATTTTCCCCTCGGGGTTGCGTGCTCGAACCCAGCCGTGGAAGAAGATGCGCGGAGCAAGGGGGCGGCTGGGATTTGTGCTGATTACGTTGCCTCAGGTCCGCGCGAGGGCAATAGCGTCTTTTCTGCTTTTTTCCCCTTTTTGCTGGGGTATGTCCGCCTACAGGAGGACGGTTCGGGGGATTGCTAGCCGTAGCCGTAGCCGTTTTACACGAACTAGCACGGCAAAGTTGCTGCCAGTACGAGCAGGATACGATCCTCAGTACCTTCGGTACATACTAGGTATTCGTGTGAGCTACTAGTAGTACAGCGGGACACGGCTTGCTGCTGCTGATGGCCTGATCATTGCAACGCCTGCGATTGTCCTGTGCATATGTGCGTGTAGTGGCTTCCGAATGCTTGTGATTGGGGAGTTGTACAGCTTGTCAGATCTTGTTTCTGTTTACTACAAGTGTCATGCTTGTCTTTAAGTTTTTGGCTGTTTTGCACCATAACAACAAGGTAACTTCCCACGATTCCTGCTGCCAACTTATCTTTCTATATTTATGTTTTGTATGTAGATAGCGTGATTCCGCTGCAGTCGGAACCTGTACTTGAGAATAACCCCTCTAAGAGTCCAAACGCCAAGGACCAGGTAATTTTGCTTCCATTTAGAGTTTATTTCCTTCTCATCTATGCTTTGAAATGTTGCTCATGAATATGTTGCTACTGCGACAGATTCTTTCTTGTACAGAGAATGTGTCTGCAGGCAGTGCACGTGGCGCTAGCTCCTTGAAATCGCCAAAAGGCCCGCCAGAGAAGGCTAGCTCTGTCGGAAAAGCTGGAGAACAGCCTTTTCTCTACCAGCAAAATGTGTATGCACCGCAGCCACAACCACTCTATCCTGGAGGTTAGGGTACATTCATTGCCTTTTTTTAATTAATGTTAGCACACGTTCCGAATTCTGTTGCATAAAGCACAGGACAAAAATACATCCGTAGCTTCTAAACAATCTTGTTTCTGTTGTTTCCGGCTAAATCTGTCTTTTCACTGGTTGTACAATTGATAATAGTTTTTCAGTAATCTGCTTTGTTCACCTCTATTTGAATTCATTGTGCAAGCATCAATCGTGTCCTGATGAGGGCACCGAGTGTATTATTCAATTCCAGACTTAGGCTCTTTATCAAGGCAGCAACTTTCACTTTTCATGGAGTGGTGTTTTAAATTTGATGTTCTTTTTCTTCCCCTTACTGTAGGATACATGAACCCTTCAGGACAATGGGAGGAATATCCCCATTATGTGAATATGGAGGGGCTCCATTCTGTATCTCCCGTAAGTAGCTGGAATTGCTGAGCTTCTTTGTGTTCTCTTGATATTTTTTTTCTAAATATTTTTTCTTGAAGGGAATCTACAATGACAACCAGTCCCTCATGCTATCTTCTGGATATGCAAGCAACCCCCAAATGATGTATGGAGCATATTCTCCTGTTTCCACCGTTGGAGATGGCCAACAATACTTCCCTGTACACTATCCCTTCTCAAGTCCTTACTATCAACCACCAGCTTCTCCTAGCATGGGATATTCAAGCTCTGCGACTGGAATATCCCAAGGAGGAGACCCTATGCTGCAGCAAGAGTACTTCCTTCCTGATGGCCTTCTATATTCACCCACACCAGGGTATCATCATCCATTCAGCTCATTCGACAGAGGTAACATTTCTCCTCTAAAGTTTCTTGTTTTGCTGCTGGCGAATTTTTTATGACTGCAAAAAACATGTGTCTTAGAGCCATGCCTAACTATGTTTTGACCTTTTGCAGCACCGACACAACCAAATAATGCTCCTGGGTTGTTTGGTCAATGGAATCTACCACTGGCTTCTGGCATGGTATGCTGTCATGCAATTGGGTTCTGAGCATACATGGGTTTACTACATTTGATTGCTTGTTATGGGGATTCAAGAGGGGTTTAATATTTGGAGGCAGTATTTGGTTTACCATGCAGTAGTTATTTGTGGAAGTCAAATTGACTTGTTTATGTTAACGAACCACTTATTGTCCAATGCTGATAATGTATGTTGTTGCAGCATCATGGATCGATGTATGGTCCTGGATCCTACAAGGGACGCCAGCAAGGTAGCAAATTTGGTGGCACTACTCCAAGTTGGAGTTCTGCTGGCCGCAGATTTGGTACTTTTGACTTTAGTGGCAATCAACAAAGGGGGAGCATGCCATTTGGTAGTCACAATGGCTCTCTGGAGTTTATGAATGAACAAAACCGTGGGCCACGCGCTACAAAACCCAAGATCCAAGAGACAGAGAACTCCTCAGGAGATGAGAAAAACGAGAAAACTGTTCCTCTGATTGATAGTGAACTGTACAACCGCTCTGATTTTGTCACTGAATACAAGGATGCCAAATTCTTTGTAATAAAGTCCTACACCGAGGACCATGTACATAGGAGCATTAAGTATAATGTTTGGGCCAGCACAGCCAGCGGGAACAGGAAGCTGGATTCTGCTTACCGTGCGGCCAAAGAGAAAGAAGAGCATTGCCCTATTTTCTTGTTTTTCTCGGTAAGAACAGCTCATCTCCTTTGGTTTTTGCTTTTCCCTTCATGGAAAAAATAAGAGTAGCAGTACATAGTGGGTGTTATCCTTTATTAGCATGTGCTAAGGTGTTTCCAATTTTGGTAATTTCTTTTATGCATAATTGATACCAGGTTAATGGAAGTGGCCAATTCTGTGGCGTGGCTGAGATGATTGGACCTGTCGATTTCGACAGAAGTGTTGATTACTGGCAGCAGGATAAGTGGAGTGGCCAGTTCCCTGTGAAGTGGCACATAATTAAGGATGTGCCGAACAACCTTCTGCGGCACATCATTCTTGAGAACAATGACAATAAACCTGTAACAAATAGCAGGGACACCCAGGAGGTAAAATGTACATATATATATATATATATATATTTTTGGCTGAATGTTTCACGTGCCTGAACCTTGATTGCTTCTGCTGGGTTTCAACTCTAGCCTACCCCAACTTGTTTGGGACTTAAAGGCTTTGTTGTTGTTGTTGTTGTTTAAGCTGCTAGTATTGGAAAGCAGCTATTGAAGTGCCTGAACCGTGACTTGGGGCTCTTGGTGGGTTTCAACTCTAGCCTACCTCAACTTGCTTGGGACTGAAAGGCTATGTTGTTGTTGTTGTTGTTTAAGCTGCTAGTATCAATGGCATTTCTGAATAAATTCACCAACTCTTAACATACAGGTGAAGCTGGAACAGGGCCTCCAGATGCTTACAATCTTCAAGAGCCATGAGGCTGAGACAACAATCCTGGAAGATTTCGACTTCTATGAGCAGCGGGAGAAAGCCTTGCAGGAGAACAGACGTCAACAGCAGCCTGCCAGCACCGATCCTCAGAAGCTGCTGGATACCAAGGCTCAAGGTCCTGTGGCCGATATATCAGATGCATTTTCTAAGGCCGTCCAGTTGAAGGATACTGAGAACAGTGGGACAACCCCGAAAGCTGAGGGTGCCTCAGCTGAAAATGGATCCGCTGCCACTGCCAAGGTTGAAGGAAGTGCAAACCTGAACACGGGCCCTGTGGAGGAAAGCAGTTGATTCGTTTCCCTTCTGTCTGCTAATTTGGAGCAGCAGATGAATAGCATGCTGCAATGTGAAGGTCGGAAAGGGGAAAGTGCAGGTTGATTGTGTTAAATATGATCATGCCCGTGTCAGTTGTACAACATCATAGGCTTTGTTTTATCTCCATTTAGGTTATATAATTTCAATATCATAGTTCCAAAATTATTGTTCCCAGTTCTCTTCGTTCCTGTTTTATTTTACTACCGTCTTCCATGTTCCTCGTGTTGCACCATGAATGATTGTTCAATTTTAGTGGGTTTAGGCATAAGAAGCTGCAGAATTATGCTGCGGTAAAGTTGCATTTTCTGCAGTTGAATTTGATACTGTCGAGTCTTCCATTGTCTCCATCCTTATGTAATTTCAGAGATCCTTTCTCTAGTGTATCTTCGTCTTGTTACTCTCAACATGTACAGTTCTGCAGTAGTTTCCCTGGTCACATTGCTTCAAAGCACAACTCATGCTTCAAAGCAACTCTTGCACATTATGAATGAAATGGAGAACTCTGTAACACCTTCAGGTAAAGCCGCTGCAGCAGCAAACCTGAAACCATTTGCAACTGTTACACATCCAGTGGCGTTGCAAAATAGATCAAACCTTAAAGCAACATTCAATAGTAATCATGACAGATTCAAAAAAAAAAGTAATCATGACCTGTTACAGATTTGCTCACCTCACGAGAGGGAAACAAGGCAAAGATGAATGATTCTGTTAGCACCAAATTTCGACAGGCTACGAGGCAGGAACAAATCCATGCTAGTTACTCATGTTATATATACCATGAAGCATCAAAGCTTCCACATGTTGCCGTATGATGATAAACACACAAACAGCGAGCAGCAAGAACATGCACTTGTTACAACGGAAGGGTATTTAGTCAAAGCATAAAGCTACCTCTATTACAACCACTCTGGTGACGACAATTAGGTGTACTCTACGATAACATGTCAAAGACAGAAGGCAGACTGAGGGGTCAGCTTTCTGCTTCTGAAGCACAAGTCTATTATAATATTATAAATACATAGGATTAAACCTCTCTCCAGGTTCTTTTCCTGGATTGTGGATGACTCAGTCCAGCGTCATCGGTTGGGCGATGCAACAGCGGAACCGAGCCTTACGGACAGTGGTCAGAACCTCCATCTCCACCTGTTCCAGCATCCTCACAATCTCAGTGAATGGGGGGCGGACTTCAGGGTCTGCGTCCCAGCACCTGGTCATGATCTCCCCAAGGGCGGGGAGGCAGTCGTGGGGTATGGCTGGTCGCACACCCTTGTTCACAACAGCAAATGCAGCTTGCACTGCAGTCATGTTTGCAAAAGGGAGATTCCCAGTTACCAACTCCCACAGGACAATGGCAAAACTGTAGACGTCAACTTTCTGGTTGTATGGCCTATGCTGGATCATCTCACTGCAAGTGGAAAAATAGCAAGTTATCACATTGGAAACAAACAAAACAGAACTTGGTAATTGTAAGCAGTAGCTGACTGTACAAAGACATTTGGGAGGGGAGGGGGGAATAGTTAACAATTTAACATAGCAGAAAAAACATCCAGAATGGAATAGTAAACATTAAATATATATTACCAACCAAGGAACTAAAAAACAACCAAGCTCACTTGCCTATGAAAAATAAAATAAGGCTGTTCACCAGTGATCATGTGGCTCACTAAGTTACCACTCAGCAAAATCTAATATGAATCAAGCAAGCTGAACACAAGATTTTTCTTTTCCCCCAATACCTTATAAAACACTTTAAAAATGCTATCAATAGACAAGAAAGTAGTAATAAAGAGGAAAAGGAGTTTATATGAAAGGGAAAAAACATGAAAAAAAGGAATATAATAATGTGAAGATTCTTAGCATTATTTACTCAAGAGCATCAGCATCACCAAAATCAGCCACCTAATGAATTTGAACATACAACTAGGGACCCTATATGCGAATCTTTAGTGGGTAACGTTTACATTATGCATGCATGCAGATATACTACAAACCAACTGGCAAATGAGAACATTTGAACATGTCAGAATCTTATGCCCCTACTCAAAATATACTTAATATAGAGATAAAAAAAAACTTAATATAGTGTGGGCTCTGGTCATTTCACACCATCCAATAATGCTATATTACTTATTTGGTTGAAATGATGTCATACTATTCAATCCATACTGAAATTTCTATAACGATTTTTGGCAACTGGTCATCATTTGCATATCTCCAAGAGCCAAACCCATGGGCAGTAGGCTTTCCACTAACACATGGAAGAGACAAGGGTCGGATCTAGGCCATGTTACCCAGGTTGTTTGTGGGCTTTGCAGTTACATCAGGACAAAGGAATAAGCATAAAGCAACCACTCTCAGGTCTCACCTACCTCCCATCTTCAACGTGGACATTTGGATCCTATGCAACTTTTACCTGGCTGGTCAAGACCAAACTTGCCAATTTAGGATAGTGGACACGATATGTTTGTCTGGTAAGCTAGGAACATTTTTTTTCGCCATTGATATCACAGAAAAGGTAGGAAAACAAGCTTGAGGACAACGCTTAGTGACAAGAACAATGTTATCTTAGAGAAACAAGATCATTAGTTGAGTTGCATAACGCTAAATAGCTTGAGTGAGTGCCTACATATTACGAAGTAGGGGCCACAACAAACTCAAACCATAGAACTATATAAATGGCTAGCTGCATAAATAACTAGTCATGGTTTTTCCAACAACAAAAAAAAAAACAGTCAGCCATTTTTAGAATGATAAGCACAATGGGCATAGGTGATGTATCTAGCTAGCCAAGGGACTAAATGATGAACTGACAACAAATGCTCATCTACCAAGGGTGCCATTTAATTGCCATGGGAGGTACAATTGGTTTGGATATTTACTAAGGTAGTGTTTGGTTCCATCTCTGCAAACGCTAATGGTAACGATATCATATCACAGAGGGTACGTGAAGAGTACGAGTCAAAACAAGATTTGTTCGGTTTAAACATGTAATGTATTTGTTACCAGTAGTCCATCTTTGCCAAGATCATCAGATGCTAACGAGATGATGCATCGGCCTTTTTAACATGAACAGGGACGGATAGCGTGGCACGACCTCACTACCTTGGTCTTCGGAAGCAGAGCTACCCTGACCAAGGGCATGGGTCACCGACCATCGATGAATATGCCACTCGGGCTAGCGTCTAGCTAGTGAAGCAGCAATCAACGACGGCGAGGCCACCGTGAAAGCTTTAGCGTGCGGGGGTAAACGAAGAAGACGCGGGATCGAAGGCACCGATGCAGTCGAGAGGAGAAAGGAAAAGTAGCTTGCAATCGCAATCTGATGACGCCAGGGTGGGAGGGGCAACAGATGGCGGCATCTGATTCGACGAGAAGCGATTACGGCTGGCACGAAACAAATAAGGTTTAATGGAATCGGTTAACGGCGTTATCCATTTACGTTACAAATGCCCTAACCAAACACTACTTAAGTAGCCAAGTGGAGCTTAGGAATCTCGTTTGAATATCAATTCAAAATTGGAGTGAATAATGTTCCTATTGACGAAGTAGATAGAAGATATGAAACAAATAGCTCCAAGGTTGGCCTTCAACTAATTTGATATGACTAAAGACATTTGGATAACTTGTTGGTTGCATTGCGTGAACGACAATATCATGTTGCTGCATCTGGACTGCGGTGAGCACCTCTCTACATTTTGACATGTGATTTAGTAGAGAGAGCAAGTTACAAATGTGACTTGTTGATTTTCCTTTTTTTTTTTGCCTTGTTTTTCTTTGTAGTCATCTCTCCTTTGTTGGTAGTGAGCTTTCCTACCATAGGCAAGTTGGCTCTCTTCCTATAGCAAATATTATTACTACTCATCAAGGATTAGCTGAAATGAAAAGATTAAGGCGTGTTTGGAACCTAAATTTTAAAATCATTGGATGGAGTTATTTTTATGCCAATCATTTTTATTCTGAGCTTCTGTAGGTGAATTTACCCACCACGAGCATCAAGAAAATCCTGCCATACGCATCGCGAGAATCAATGATTCTTTTTCCACGCCGGAGACACAACGATCGTAGAAAGATTGAACTAGTTTTTTACCCTCGCTTTTCTATGCCATGGGGTGGAGACCATGGTCGCCATATCTAAATTTATGATTGGTGTCACCAACATTTTTGGTCCAGTCATTATGACTGATGTCGCAATGATCCCAAACACTTCTATTTCCATCTGAGGATTCCCCTTTTGAAGTAAGTCTTGCAAAGAAAGAACGGAATAGTCAATATTGCATAATGACTTTTTGCTCATTCAAGAGTGTGGCAAAGCACCTTGGTTTGTTTTCAAGTTGGAAAGTCAAGCCACATCACCAGGTATCGACTAGTCGTCCAAATGTCCAATCATGATTAGACAATGACTACTCATGATTTATCGATGAGTAGAAATATGGAGAGCACATCTCTTAGCTTTCGGAGAAAGATTACTTGGAGATGGTAGTGAAGCATCGCCACTAGCAACAATTACGGTCCAATGTCTTGTCTACACAGGTGACTCCAAGATTGGGCGAGAGAAAAGCTTTGACGCTCAAGTCATTGCGTTTATTTTGTGGCAGTGGGAGGGACTATTAGGGCACACATGACGTCGTGGTTTTGCTCTCCATTTAGGTTAAATTAACCACAATTACCTCACTAAATGAGGAGAGAACGCTTGTTGTCGTCTCACGAGGCGACGAGCCCAACTCGTGCTCCCAGAGTAGGCAACGACTTCCACCAACGTTAGCTGCGGCGTCAAGCCGCCATCGGAGCAAGATCGAGTGCAAGCGCAAGAATGGTGGCAAATCGTTTTTCCTCACTCGCAAAAGCTTCCATGTTGACGCATGCTTCGCCAATGGCAACCCTTGTCAATACAGGAGGGCGCAAGGTTTTGGCCATGAGCAGATAGGGCGACGACAATGCAAACGCAAGTAGGTACAAGGGCACGAGGTGACATATCTGCCCTTAGTGTTATAGGGAACAAGGTCCGATGCATCCACGTCTTTAATCGTGATTAGATACATGCCTCACCCATCGGGTGCTAAATGCACCATAAGGCTCCCCAATACCAATTATTGCGTTTGGTTGCAAAGGAATTACAGAATAGCAATCACATGAAAATTCTGGATCATGTTTGATTGCAAAAGAAATGGAAGTTGCCATTGATTTACACATCTAGCTATCCACCGTGCAAGCGATATGTCCATCTTTCGTTCGGCTTCTCCTTTCCAGTGCTCAAGAATGGTAGTAGGTTTTCTCACTTCCCACGTCGCCGCCGTCACCATGGCAAGGACCATGGTCATTGTTGGGGGCCCAATTCATGGAACCACGACCAAAGCTTACTTTGTCCGATATTGCTCCACCTCTTCTTGACTCTACCCATTTCAGTTCCGCAAGGTTGGGCCCAATTCGTGGAACCAAATGGAACCAAAGCTTCCTTCGTCTCATATTGACCCATCTCTTCTTGGTGTTGCATTGCCAACCCTTAACTCCACTACCCTTCGCCTTTGCCTCTGCCACCAATTAAGCCTAGAGCAACTGATCGCAGGATGACAAATTCAGCAAAGGTGGCATAATTAGGCTAATAAGAGGCTTCAATTGGCAACATGGCGGCATCAATTGACCACTGAGCTAGGTGAATAAACTGCGGTTGCCAACCCCAACACCACCAATTACTTTGCATTTTGCCTAATGCCAAATGTCTAGATTGGAATCTTCCCTTCTCACCAATCGCCTTTAACTAGGCGAGATGTTATCATGCATCGCATGATTATTTAAATTACACTTAATAAGACAACAAAACAAATTGATGTTCTAAGTGAGAAAAAAATGCTAGAAAACATATTTCTGACATGTAATTAAATTGGCTTTAACTAGAAGAGATGTTACCATGCATCACATAATTACTTATTTATGCTTCATACACTAACCAAGTCATAATTATGTTATAAGTACTTGTATAAAACATTGAATTAAACCACCTCACATATTGAGTTGAGGCAAACCAAATTTCCTTGGCCAACAGGTAGCAGCTAACATTACTTGAAGATATAACTAAAATAGTAAAATAGCATGTTGGATCTGTAGTATATTTACAAATGCTCCTAAAAAGACACATACTTTATGGACCTCTAGTAGTTCATAATCTTAGAAGAACGCAGAAAAAGATGCAAATCACAACCATAAGCAGCAATGGTTATTAATCATTAGCATCCATTTAAAATAGTACAACCAAAAGGTGAAGGAACATACAGATTCCTAGAATAGCACCGCTACTTTACTGTTTCTAAGTATTAAGCGATATATGGAATAAAGTGGTAGTTCTGAAGAGCAGCAGCATGTATATTTCGCATGCAAAAACACATTCTTGCACAATCACCTATTCAAAGCATGCCATGCAATAAGAAATAACTTAATTTTGGAGAAACAACCCATATAAAAAGCAAAAATAACCAGTCAATACAGACCAAAAGTACATTAAACTATATTATAGGAACAATGAATATAACTTGTAGAAGTGTTTTGCTTTCACAGTACCAGTCATTAACATGTTACAGGTAAACAATTTAACAGAAAGTGTAAGCAACCACATAAACTGTGTATTCTTGTAATCAAATAAAGGTACTGCTTGATATAAAGTTCCACACTATGATCCAGAGCAATAGCAATGCAAAAAGATTAAAACAGATTTGCCTTATTGAAATAGCATAACGACTGATTGAAATAAACAGGACAAAGAGCATGTCTGATCAACTTACGGAGCCATCCAGCGGTATGTTCCAGTTTCAGGTGTCATCCCCTCAGTCTTGATTTCAATCCTAGCCACTCCAAAGTCAGCAATCTTAATGGACTTATCACCAGAAATCAGGAGGTTGTCTGACTTAAGGTCTCTGTGAATGAACCCAAGGCCATGGACATAGGCCATGCCGCGTGCAACATCCAATGCCTGCTTGACTGCCAACTTCAGCGGAACAGACCTGTTCTGCCTCTTGCTCAAGAAATTCCTAAGGGATCCACCCTTTGCATACTCTGTGACAATACACCAAACCAATGGCTTCCTGCACGCACCAATGAATTTGACAATATTCGGGTGCCTCAGTGTTGCAAGCATCATAACTTCTTGGACAAACTGCTGTTCCAAGAGTTGAGCTTTCTCAGGGTCAGCCTCAGGTCGCTCCAAAAGCTTAATAGCAACATCCATCCCATTGTATGTTCCCCTGTAGAGCTTCCCAAAGGCACCTTGTGCAAAGGCCATGCCCATGTGCAGGTTCCCCAGATCAATAGTCCACTCCTCATAATCCTTGAGTGTCTCAGTTGGGAACTTGTTGTCCATCAGAGCATGTGCCAGCGCATCCTCACTCAAGGCATGGGACACCCGGCCAGGGCGGAAGCTGCTGTGCCCAACCGAGTAGCTTCCCACAATGACAGGCCCCTTGAGACCAGGATGGCCAAGCATGCCAGTGCGGGAGTCACTGTTTGAGCCAACGCTGCTGGCGATGGATCCGCCATGCATGCTGGTCTGCATGCTGTTGATGCTATCAACAGACATGTTGGAGCCCTCCCCTAGTTTCTGGTAGAAGGCCATGTCACAAAAGTTCCCGCCAAAGTTCGCGCCATCAGCATGGCCACCCACGGCGCCGATGAAGCCAGGGAAGTTGGCGCCTTGTGCCATCAAAAGCCTGGCGATTGATTACCTGCAACCACGGAATAAATCTGAGGTCAGAAACAAGGGGCAAATTAGTCCTCTACTAGATACAGGCCGAGCAAAGGCAGAGGATTGAAGATTCCATTCCTACAAGACACAAAGGTTTCCACTGCCATCAAGATAGTACCATAAATAAAATCAGAATTACTATTTTAGTAAGGAACCCAACCCACCAACAAAGACCAGAAACACATATATACTTTCTCCATTCCAAATTATAAGACATTCTCACTTTTCTAGATACATTGCTTTTACATATACCTAGACATAGTGTATAGCAAAAATTATGTATCTAGAAATGTCATAACATCTTATAATTTTGAATGGAGGCAATATAATATAGCACATACAAGCATTCAAAAATTGTACACAAATATAAGGGATTCTAGGGGACACAAAACAGTTTTGCATTAAATACTTTTCATTTATCAACCAATCACCACCATTAATCATGTTGTTAATAGCCTCTGATTAGGAAATAAAGTGAGGGCACAAGCGCCTTTTGTGTCCTCTCTGAATATGTCCTAAAATTACTAAGTACACTGATAGATAGAGATAATAATACTGTATATTTTTCCCTAGCTGCAGCCTGCAAGAGCTAGAATCCCCCAGTCAGCCACCGCCAACGTGGGAGAGCACACAAGAGAATCGGAAACCTATAGCAACTCCAGAAGCGGAAAAAATTCGACGGCGTCCAAAAGAGGTAACCCCAAATCCCTAACAAATTGCCCCTAAAATGGCAATCTTGGCACCGAACATGTGGCTGCAGACCTTTTCCAGGAGCCAAATCGAACGCCCCAGACAGGTACCTGAAACCGACTCCCCCAAGATAGCATGAACGAGAGCCTGAATCAGAGAAAACCCCCCCGGATCCCTGGAGAGCAGGGCACGGGGGTGGCACCAAATCGACGTCGCCAGCCCGCAGCACTCGACCGACCGTGGTGGATGGACCCGCAAGAGGAAGGGAGGGAGGGAGGAAGAAGGCAGACCTGTGTGGAGGGAGAGCACTCACCCTTTGGAAAGATGACCGGGAACACGCCGCCGCCGCCGCCGATGCCAGTCGATGGAGGAGGACGAGGTCGGACGGTGGAGTGCGATCGAGGTCGAGGGAGGACGGACGGACGGACGGACGGTAGGAGCAGGCGGTGGTGTGATGCGGTTGCGGTTGCGGCGTCGGGACCGGACGGAGCCTCTCGACGCTGGACCGAGGAGTCCGGGGCGACGGGGGCGGTGACCGGTGGGTGGGGGTCTAGGGGAGGAAGGCGAGGGGAATGTGAGAGGAGAAAAGATCAACAAAGCGAGGCGAGGCAGGACAGAAGAAAGAAAGCGAGAGTGTGGAGAGTCGCCTCCGTGGAGTAGGGGGTCATTAGTTAGGAGGTTAGCCACGTGGCCGGGCTGATAGCGTATCAGCGAGATGGTGGGCGCCGCATTTGGAAGTTGGCGAGGGACCTCTGTGCAAATCGGTCGCCCGTCGGAGGCTAGGCTACAGAGTAAACGGCACGGCGGGGCGGTGGACGCAACGGGCCAAACGGCAGCGCGTTGCCGGCGTTGGCGTCGCGTGCCCGGGGCCCGGGCCGCCGCCCGCCCGCCCGCCCGGCGCTGCTACTCACGAGAGGGGAGAGGTGGAGGGGCGTCGACCTATCCGACGTGATGGCAAGGCATCTGACGTACGGTCGGACTGCGGCGGCACCGGCATCATGAGGGGCCTGGCACGTATTTTGCCGTTATTTATGGATAGATACCTTTGGGAGAAAAAAAAGTATAAGATATGCTTGTATTGATTTTTTTAGATAATATAATACATATAATATAATATAAGATATGCTTGTATATTGATACAGCACGCATCCATCTCCACGCATGATCGACGGTGGAAGGCACGCTGGCAATAGTACATCCGTGGGAGGAGGCAGCTGTCCGCCGCTCCTTCTCCTTGGCCCCTCCTCTCTCTCCGCGTGGGCAGGACCTAGGATAAGGATAAACTCGCCCCGTCCGCATGACCCCAACGTGGCCCATCTGCCGGCCCCCGATGTCCGGGCCGTGCTTTATGACTCTCTAGACATATCTCTGAAACATGAACCACTTGCAGAATACGTCTAAAGCAGATGAAACATTTGGAACATACATTTTTAACATATGTGTGAACATATGCAACATCCAGATAAAACACTTGTAACTTGCAACATAAAAACACTTATTACAACATAAAGATGAAACAGCTAAAACATTTCGAACATACTCTTACCACATGTGTGAATATGCAACATCCAAATCAAAACGGTGCAACAACAGATAAAACATTTTGAACAAACTCTTGCAACATGCCTCTGAAACACTTACAACATATGAAACATCCCAGTCTAATTTTGCAACATCCATATGAGACACTTGCAACATACCTCTGAAACATCTGAAACACTTGAAACATACACTTGCAACATGCGTTTTTAGCACATCGCAACATCTCCTTGCTGCTTGGAAGAATGGAGGCTCGTCGGCGTGTGGAGTTCGCCGGAGAGCAGTGGGCTCGGTGGCGCTTTGTAAGCGGTGGCCGTGGCAATGCTTCTACGCTGACGATGAGGGAGGGGAGGTGGCCATGCGCCTGGAAGGGCGGGCGCCGAAGAAGCCTTGCCGCGCTGGCAGTAGACCCAATTGCCTGTGCGCCCATGACTTCTGACTGACAGCATGCTGACCGAGACTAGAGAGAGCGGCGGCCATGGCGCGCAGCCTATGTTAGGGCTAGTGGTCGAGTGCCACACACGGGAACGGAGCGAAGCGAGGCATGTGGGAGTGATTTTTTATAGAAACAGATGAGTAGATAATGGAGAGGGACGTGTGCGGGAGTGAGCGGAGCGAGGCGTCTGGTTGGACGGACGGATGTCTTAATTGTATCATTATCGTTTCACCTACCACGCCACGTCACCACCGTCTTTCCCTACTCCCTAATGTGGTAACCAGATCACGTTAGGGTGGAAGAAGGTTGACCGACGGTACGACAACATCCGAATAGGTCAACACTCAATAGGGCAACTGCGTCGATTTGAAGAGCAGGGGCTATTATTTCTTCGGTCAATCCATGCAGGACGCATTTGTATATAAAAGTGTACCGATTTTTATAATATTATATAAGTGTATTAGGAAAACATATCAAGTGTTGTAAATATTGTTAGTTTTAAAATCTTATCAAACTTAATACGGTCTGATTCGATACTATTCTATATTTTTTCAGATCAAAGGAGCACACGTGAGGATGTGCATCTTCATGTAATTTCTTTTTCCTTGGATGACCCTCATTGAAAGTAACTGCTCATGGCCAGTAATTAGGTGTTAAAGGATGTCTTTACCAAACTTCATATATTTCCTTCTAATATAGTTGCCTTGTAGTAGTTGTTTAAGAGGTCGACACAAAAAAAAAAGTTGTATGTTATGAAAACATAATAAATCTAATAACATTAGTCATGTCTTGTTAACAATTTATTATATATTTATAAACCAAAATTCATAAATTTAACCTACTACAATCATAAATCGACTTAGATTTTTATGGGTTAGAGACTTAGAGTATGAATACAAAAATGGTAGGTCTTGTCTGCAACCCCACGAACCCGTTCCACGTACTTATAAAAGTATAAAACTATCACTGTCAATTTTGGGCTACCGCATTTCCAGATTCTGGATGAAATGGGCTAGAGTGCTAGGAGTGCTAAATCTAGATAGCTAGAGCTTATGCCTACAAAAGCTCGTAAAGGCTCACCTCTCATGTGCTTCCGTGCTACGTCTCGTGGTTTGCATGCAAGCGTTTGTTATGATGCCGTAATTGGTTGATTACACAACGCAAGATGAAAACAATGGAGAAATTCTCGCTTGGAGTTTGATTCTTGTTCCTCCTATAACAACCATGGCAGCGGCAATATAACATGGACATGAAGGGTAGTTGAATTCCTATTTATAGTGACTTATTAGAAAAATTAGGATAATTCAAATCTAAATGGTAGTTATACTCCTATTTGTTGCTTATTTCACTCTCTACCATACATCTAAGACATTATTGTTTTAGAACCTATGCAGAGTTAGGCTTTAACACTTTCTCACACTAGGAGTATAGAACTTTGAAAGAACTAAAAGCATCCATAGTGGTCATTAGACGAGTAAACAAACACGTTCCACATCATATGCCATGTGCCCATGTATCATCTACATGGATGGTGTATCAAACCAAATAAAAAACACCACCCGTGAGGATTTGATAATAGTTAGGTTGCTAATATATCTATAATCGACATACTTGAGTACTATACTTAGGCACATGCTTTTGGCGCGGTTGCATAGTTAACTTAAACCTCTTAATTAATCTTTAATTTAAAATTATACTAGTTTCTACTCTAATGTTATCCTGTTGCTAGTAAAGTGGCACAACAGTCCAGCCGTATAAGGAAAAACGAAAATGCAAGAAAAAATAGAGAGAAATATATAGGGAAAGAGAGAATGGTATTGGGAGGTTAGCCACGTGGCGGGGCTGATAGCGGATCAGCGCGGCGCGAGGGCCGAGGGACGGAGGGATAGATGGTGGTCGCGGGATTTGGAAGTTGGCGAGGGGCCTGTGTGCAAATCGGTCGCTTCCCCGTTGGAGGGCTGCCCTGGCCAAAGTAAACGTCACGGCGGGGGTCGCAACGGGCCAACCGCAGCACGTTCGTTGCCGACGTTGGCGTGGCGTGCCCGCACCCGGGCCGGGCCGCCGGCCGGCGTTGCTACTCACGAGAGGGGATCTATCCGCAGTGATGGCATGGCATGGCATCTGACGTACGGTCGGACAGACTGTACCTGCGCCCGCATCATGGTGGGCTTGCGTGCCGGGGGCATGTATTTTGGCGTTATTATGGATAGATACATTTTTTGGGAGAAGAAAAAAATAGTGTAAGATATGCTTGTATTGATTTTTTAGATAATATATTATATATATATAATAA